GTGTGCACTTCTCCACTACTATTCCAGACTGTCCTCTGTCTTGTACCATCACTTCATCTCCCTTCTCTAAGGGAACAAGAGGCCTCGCTGAATGCCTTCTGTCAAAGTGCAGCTTCTGTTTGGTTTTGTGATTGTCTTCAAACTGACGTAGGGCATGATTCTGCACAAGGTTTGGGGACAGCTGAGACGGGGCCACCGGCACTTTGGTTTTTAGCCTCCTTGACATCATTAGCTCAGCTGGAGAATAACCATTAGCCAATGGTGTCGCTCTATACTGTAGCAAAGCAAGATAAGGATCTTGAGAGCCAGCTAGAGACGTTTAGCTGTTTGCACTGCTCTCTCTGCTTCACCGTTGCCTGAAGCATGACCTGGGCTGCTAGTGACATGTCGAAACCCGTAATCTAAAGTGAACATCTTAAATTCCCTTGATGTATAGTAGCTGGCATTGTCAGATTTTACTTGATCTGGAATTCCGAATCTGGAAAATGCACGTTTCATCCTGTCTATGACCTCTGCTGAGGCGGTTGAACTCAGACTAGCTACCTCTATCCATCTGGAGTAGTAATCAATCATTACTAAATACAGTCTTTTATTGAGTTCATAGACATCAGTGGCTATGTATTGCCATGGTCGTTGTGGGAGCATGGTAGGAACTAGAGGTTCTGGAGGATTTTTCCTGTTAGACTGACACTTGCGACAGTTTTCAATTAATTCTATATTCTTCATCATGCTTGGCCACCACACTGTGTTTCTGGCCAATGCCTTGCACTTGACAATCCCTTGGTGACCGTCGTGGATCTTATCTAGGACTTCCAATTTCATAGACGATGGTATAACGACTCGAGGTCCCATCATCAACAGCCCTTTAACCACTGTCAGCTCTGCTCTATGAGCAAAATAAGGGCTGACTAAACCCTTGACATTATGTTTTTCAGGCCAACCTTCAGCTACATAGTTCATAATTTGCCTGCATGCTTCATCCTCCTGTTGATGGATCATAATATCATCTAATTTGCTATCACTGATAGGCATTCCAGCTATGACTTGATGAGCATATAAGTTCACTTCCTCATGAAATGAATCACCTGATTTGGCTGGTGTTGGAGAACGGGATAGCGTGTCGGCAGTGTACAACAGTTTTCCTGGCACATGAACAGGTGTGAACGAGTATCTCATGAGCCTCATTCTCATTCGTTGAATACGTACGGGTAGTTGATCCAACTCCTTCGTGGATAGCAGTGGTACAAGAGGCTTATGATCAGTCTCTAGTATAATATCCTTTCCCAGAATGTAATCTGTGAATCGTTCACATGCGAAGGTACTAGCCAAGGCCTCCTTTTCAATCTGGGCGTACCTTTTCTCTACATCCAGAAGGCTTTTGGACGCATACGCCACTGGCGCCCACCTGTCACCGTGCTTTTGCAAAAGCACTCCGCCAAGTCCGTATGAAGACGCATCTGCTGACACCTTGGTCTCTAGTGAAGGATCATATATTTGCAACACTGGGCTGCTCGTCAAGCATTGTTTAATCTCTTTAAAAGCCTGTTCCTGTGCTGGACCCCAGCACCATGCACTGTGAGAGCTCAAGAGTTCACGTAGAGGTTGTGTCATAGTAGCAAGGTTGGGTACAAACTTCATGAGCTGGTTCACTGTACCCATCAGACCTCTTACCTCACTCACATTCTCTGGAGCACGCATTTTCAATATAGCCTCAACCTTCTCTGGAGAGCTTTCCACACCATTAACTCCGATCCGATGACCTAGAAAGTCAATCTGGCTTTTGCTGAATTGGCACTTATCCTTATTCAAGGTGACACCTGCTGCTTTCAGCCGTGTTAATGTCTGTACGAGTCTCTCGTCATGTTCCTCCTGGTTCTTTCCGAACACGACAATGTCATCCATGAGACATACCACTCCTTGTTGACCACCTAGTATTCGGTAGATCTCACTCTGAAACGTCTCAGGGCCAGATTTGATACCGAAGGGAATTCGCTTATATCGAAATCGACCAAATGGTGAGATGAACGTGGTCAGTTTCCTTGAATCTTCATCCAAGCAGATTTGGTGGAAGCCCGCATTGGCATCCAGTTTAGAGAAAACCTTAGCACCTCCCATCAGAGCAATTGTATAATCCACTGTGGGGAGCATGATTCTTTCTCTCTTCACTACTTCGTTAAGCTTCGTGAGATCCACACAGATCCTCACTTTGCCATTTCCTTTAGGCACCACGACCATAGGAGAACACCATTCCGATGGTTCTGTGCACCGTTCTATAACATCTAGCTCGATAAGCTTGTCAAGTTCAGCTTTGGCTAGAGGAAGTAGTGGAATAGATATCCTCCTGGGAGTCATCACACTGTATGGCTCTGCGTTTTGCTCGATCTTAATCTTATATTCTCCTTCTAGCTTTCCTAAGCCTTTGAACATTGATCCGAACTCCGCTGACTGGATAGGATCTGACGTAACTTTTCCAATGAACTTAACGACACCTAGATCTGCACAAGCGTCTCTACCTAGCAATAGAGAGCCTTTGGGGGACACATATATATCCTCTGTGATTGTCTGATCACCTTTCTTTAGTTCTGCAGTAAAGAATCCAAGAGTTGAAAGGTTGCTTTGATCTGGGCCACTAAGAGGCCTGTCAGGCCTCTGCAAAATGAAGTGTGAAAACTGTGTATCATACACAGCTTTGGAAATGACTGTCACATCTGCTCCAGTATCAACAGCAAATTTCAGGCTCTGACCTGACACCTGGACTTCCGTAAACCATGCACTCCTACATTTCCTGTTGTTGATACTCTCAATAGAGTAACTTTCATCACTGATGCTTCCTAAGAAGTAGTACTCATCTGAGTCAGACTGCACTTCTGCTACCTCTTGTACAGACCCTTTTCCTTTACTACTCCTGCAGACCTTGCCCCAATGTCCTGGGCGTTTGCACTTGTTACATTTACTGTCTTTTGCAGGGCATCTTTCTCTGGGGTGCACCTCCTTTCCACACCACCGGCATGACCGGCTATTCGACGCCTGGGAGCAATTTGATGCACTTCTTTGCTGCCCGTTACTACGTGGTCCCTTGTCACGAGGGCCTCCTTTCCGCCTATGTTGAACTGCCTGCACTTTAGAAGTCTCTCCTTTTTATATCCTGAGCCCACCTTCCAGAACATTCTTCTGCTCTACACTCATTTATCGCTTTTTCTAAAGTCAGTTCACCATCTCTCAACAGCCGTGCTCTGACCTTATCACTATTTATACCCAATACGATCTTATCTCTGACAAAATCGTCCTTTAGTTCACCGTAGGCACACGTAGACACGAGAGTGTTAATTTGTGATAAGAAATTATCGAAACTCTCACCTTCTGATTGCGTATACCTGTGAAACTTGTAACGTTCATAAGTAACATTTGTTTTCGGCGTGCAGAACCTCTGGAATTTCTCCAGAATTAATTCCGGATCCAGTTTGTCCTCTGCTGGTACATGTTCCTCCCCTTCGGGGTCACCTACAGCTGGAGCCCATGTGAAGCCATTGTAGATTTTCAGCGCCTCCTCACCTGCGAGATTTAGCAGTATAGCACTTCTCCTTTCCTTACTGGCAGTAGATAATCCAATGGCGTTCACATATAATTCGTACTGCTGCTTGAACAACTTGAAATTCTCACTTGCATTTCCCGATAGACAAAGAGCTTTCGGTGGTGGAAGATTCGTAGCCATATTTCCGCGTAATTCCTGATCACTGATCGCTCAATATCCGTTCTGGACACAATTTATATCTTCTTGTTCACTTCTGACACCATGTGGCGTTCGGATGGCACGAGAAACGGAGATATATTCTTGGATTTCAACACAGAACTTTTAATAACTTCTAACATGTGTCGTCGCCATTACCGGAAGTGATCATACATCGAATCATGAACGGAAGCGAGGCTGAATTAATGTAAACGTAAATCGAATACAGCACAGAGTCCACTAGCCACTGCCAAGTTGCTTGCAAAAAGTGAAAGATGCACAAAAGGAGTGTTGCCTGTTTCCAGTGCACTCTCAGAGCTTGCCTTTGCCCAGTCATGATTGGGATTGACTTGAAGTTACCCAGACTGCAAGAGGTAGTGCTCCACAGGGATGATGAGTACACATAAAGTAAACTGGATTGTTATATCGATCAAGACTCCCTGAGAAATCCATAAATGCCATCTCTCCAGCCTGCTTAGTTGTGTGTACACGTGACATGAGAGGGGTGCATATAGATAATATCAAATGCTTTTGGTCAGCACCATTACCCTGGACCCTTTGCAAGAAACACTTCCCTCCTATGTTAGCATTTTTCCTGTTGTAGTCCTCAACAATTTTCTCAAGGTGATCGAACATTGCTGATCCATTGGACGGCCCCTTCTTTTCAATCAACCATTTCCCATACAAATTGTTTACATCAGATAGAGAAGGACACATTTTGCGGTCAGCCAATAGCATTAGAGTTACTGGATCCTTCATCAATTGATTCTCATGATAATGGATGCCTCTGAGGCACTCATGCCCTCCTCAAAGTAAGTACAGAATTTGTCTCTTGTTGCTGGCAAAATAGGGCAAAAGGAAGTTAAATGAAAGCAGTGCACACTGTGATTGTGGTTCCACCAAAGGTCTATTTCACACTGATAGGGCATTTTCTTGTTTCTGTTGATCCTGATGGACATTTTGCTGTTGCAATCAGTCTTCTTCTCCCGTGCTTTCGATAACAAGTGCAAGTCACAGCCTTCCATGCCACTGTTGTCCTTGTGTGTCCCATGCCTTTTTTGTTTTCTTTTCAGTGCAGCCTCTTTTTCAGTGACTTGCTTTTTTGTCAATTTTTTGCGTTTGCATTGGCAAATATACCACTGTGCATAAATAACTTTAACCCCCTTTTGTTTGTATCCACCTTGTGCATTATATTTTATGTTTGAAGAAGCTGTAAATTGCTGCAGCCAGTGGTCAACATCTTCTTTAGTTGTAATGTGACTAACAGACAATATTATTTCACATAAAAATGATCTTTAGGTGCACCTGTAAAGTTATCCATGGGCATTTCTCTAAATTCATGGCATTTATATTGATAACCAGATGGAAATATTTTTTGTGCACACTCTGGAATCTGCTCCCCTCTTGTATGAATGTCAGGCTGCTTAGCATCCTTGGCATATGTGTGGTCATTACCACTGACCAGAGGTGACTCTCTACAAGGATCTGTTTTCTGTCTTTTCTTTGGAGATTCAAAGTCAGAATCTGAATCTGCTTGATAGTGCTGCTTTTGTACTTTTCCTTTCAGATTTGTACAAGATGAATTGTTGGCCTTTCCACAATCATTAGCGAGACCAGAAGATGCCAGAAAAGGGCGTGCTTGGTCATCACTTACTTGACCAGGCTCTGTGGCTAAGTTGGATAGAGAGCCATCACCATTGGCAATATCTAAGATCAGTGAATACCTAAAGTCATCAATTTGAGTTTGGGAAAAGTCTAGTGGCCGCCCCTCTGCAATGTGCTGTGCCCATTTGACAACAAAGATACCACAGTCAACTGAATTGGTTTGCTGTTCAATTTCAGTAGATGGAATAATGTAATACTGCCACTCTTTCCAGTCCAAAACTTTGCTTTGGCTGACAAACGCACACTCTAGAAAATAAGCAAACCTTGTGAATGCAGTTTGTGCACCAACACCATTGAACAGAGAATCCAAGTAGACCATTCTCCTTTCCTTCAAGTCTATAGCAACAAGGCACCAATGATCTCCATGCAGTACCGGCCACAGAATCATGTCTGCTGCTGAAATGTTCTCATAAAGCAAGTCATACTTATGCTTCAAGAAAATATTCATTGAGAATTGTGCCATGTTGTTATAAACATCAGAGTTGACAGTAAAAACTTTCTTGTTACTGGCTTGAGACTGACTTTCTATCAGTAGAAAAATATAGTCTATCACAAAATTGGAAAGTTTGCCGTCACTTATCTTGTGTTTAGCTGGAAGGAGCTTTTCAATATCAGTTGGCTCCCATGCTTTAATTCTAGGATTCCCTGAGATTTGGACCCCAGCCATGGCAATTCCCTCTGCTTTGCTAATAGATGCTGCATCCAGTGTAGAATATTTCCAGGGTATACTTCCAGTAGCTGTCTTGAAAATGCCAGGTTTTTCAGCCTTTAATGCATAGTAACCAGGTGGAAGACAAAACTTGACAGGAAACTTCTTCCTTTTTAGAGGCATACTGGGCATCTGTGGTTGACAGTTTTGGACCTTAAAAGACATAGAAGAAATATGTGTAACCTCTTGCATGTCTTCAACCTCATCTTTTTCATAGAAGAGGAGATATGCCTCCTGGCTTGTAGCTTCAAGATGTGAAGACTGTCGAACTGTGGTATCACTTGAAAAATACCACCTCTCTCCTCTTTTTAGGTAACACACATAATGACCAGAAGAAATGGTGGTACCCTCATGGACAATGACAGCTTTCAGTTGATAAGGGACATTGGTTACTGTAGTTCCTTCGTTGGAAGAAATCTGGTGTTCTGGAAATAACACTTTCTCTTTGTAATCTATTAAGTTGTGAAGTTTTTTTCCATCATTTTGAAATCTTACAATTTGAATGCAAAATGACAGAGGTGCCCGGCATGTGACTAACCTCTTCCATGCATCAGTACTTTGGGAGCAACTGATGGAGTAAAAGTGAAAGAAATGCATAATTTAATATTTGTGCAATTCATTATATATAGACAGGAATCAGCAAGGGGAGGGGGGGCAGGGGGCTACTAGTTTTTCAAGTAACTAGACAGCATGGAATGAGGCATTACACATACTGTTGCTTCTTCGTCTTCTAGTTACTGGAGGTCACCCAGCCAGTCTCCTATACCACTAACCATGATCCTTGACATCACCATCACCATCATTACCATCATCATCATTGTTGTCATCATTATCTATTTATTTGTTAAATGATGTTGTATTGAAGGCAGCAAATAAGCTAATGTGGACTTATTGCATTTTGTATTTGTATGAATTTTTATTTCATTATTTGCCTTTTCTCAATTGATTACAGGAATGAATTGTATTCTTCACAACACACAGACACAGAGACCAGACCACAGCAACAGGGACTGCATCTCCTACTCTTTTCAATCCATGCATAAGAACTTGAATTTGTACAATTGTAGTAGCTTTGACATTCCTAATTTCTTGCACTGGAAGAAAATAGTCTGCTTTGTGCATTGTAGTTTATAGTGTTAAGCACTGTAGCAGTTATCAAAAAAATAGTTGTATTTGTGTGTCCTTTTGGTATTAGGTTTAATGCTATTAAAATTTGTTACCTGCTACAGTAATAAGATGATTCCAGCTCCACTGGGTTAGAATAGTCCTTCAGGAAGCTCTGTACAGTACAACCCTTAAGAATGAATAGACAAACACCACTAATGGAACAGGATAAATGTGTGAATAATACTGATTAATAAAGTGTGTGATTGGGTATCAGAAATACTATGGTAGCTTGTCTTTGTGATGAGTATTTGACTTTTCTTGTAGTTATTGGCTAAACTAAAGATGTAAATGTTGGGTGCAAATAGAACTGTTGTCATTGTTGTCAATGTCAATGTTTATGCTCCCACATGCAAAAGAAAAATATAAGAGTGGAAGTGATTATTATAGAGATCATTTTGACCACAAAATTTACTTTTTGTAAGAAAGAATGTGTAGTAAAGGTGTAGTTCTAGAAAGAATTGAAAGATCAACACACTCCCACCCCAAGTAGGATCATTGAAAATTCCAGGGGAGAGGGGGTCCAGAAGTGCCAAAATTTTTTAAGGAAATGCTTGACATGAAATGAATTTTTCAAAGAACTCTGAACCTGCCCCCTCAGAAAAAAAAGAAACCAAAAACAAAAATATCCATGTGGCAGGGAGGCCATTCCTGGATTTAATTTTGCTGTCTACAGGTTTGTGATTGTAATTAATTTAATCCACAGGAAATTGGCATAGGTGACTGTGACCTTGTAACTATAATTGCCCCATACCTTTGTAATATGTAGAGGGAGAATTGTTTCCATTGTAGTGTTTGAAGTAATATTATCACACGATGAGCACATTACTTCACTCCTTAACTCAAAGAAAAAGGATTGCAGGAAGGAGAGATTACAGCTGGCAGGTATTAACTGCTGAGTCTGGTACTGGCTTGCAGTGTTTCCAAGTACTCTACAATATTCCTGAAAAAATTCTGCTGCACACTGTTGTTGGCCCTTCTGAATTTGGCTGCTAATTTGTGGCAGACAGGATACCAATGTTGCTGGGTGAACTGTTCCAGGCGCAGTCTTATATGCATTCACAAAGTTTAGGGTGCTACACAGCAAACACATCTGACCTAGAGTATTTAGTGGAACATACCAAAGAAGCCTTTTTGTTAATGCAAGACCTCAGTGGTGCACAGTTGTATAAAAATAGTTTTCTCTTGTGTGAGGCATAGTCAATTTAGGAGTTACCAAGATTATCAAGTCAATATGGTCCAGAAACTACTCATTTGTCCAGAGGGTGGGGCTGGGGAGGGGGATGGGAGGGGTCGAAAGTGTTAGGTTTGCGTACCGTTTTCACTCTTTGCACTCCTAGTACTCGTACACGCACATTTTAGATGAACGCGCAACACAACAGTGTCAAAAAATAATCGAGCAAAGAACTACGACTTGCAAAGCTTCCAGGACTAATATAAATTTACCGCCATAAACAGTGAAAAGGCCTTAAACATTTTACTCGTAGCTCCGTACAAGGTACAACTTCCTGTGACGTTCTAACAAGATTATCAAGTTGTCAAATACGTATTTTAATATGACTGATACCAGTTGTTTCATAAAGTCGAAATAAGCTTAATGTCGAGAATAACTAAGCGGATTACCACACTAATGACGAATTTTGTGGTTCATTAAAAAAGTACTTGGTTCAATTACACAGTTCACCGATGGGTTGATGTTGTTTGCCTGCTGGGATTTTATGTCTTCCACTCCAATATCAATGTTATTTTGACGTGCTAAAATAATATTGAATACATTTTCAAGACCTGTTTTATATGAGGTGCACTTCTTACGATTGTGCTGCAATCCAGTGAGCCCTTCGGAAAAACATGTCACTGAGAGCAGAGCTTGCAAGACACTATTCAGAAAGCAAGTATTTCCAAGGTTTGAAATTCCCTTTGGATCCATTTGACCGTGAGCAATGTTTAGAATTAACGAAGAAAGTGTATTTTAACCAAAGGCAGAAGATTCGTATATGTATGGAGCGGAGCGAGATAAGGTAATATTATTTCCCGCGAAAATTACACAAAAAAAGGTAATAGATAACTTCCCATTTGTTTTTCCTGCAAAAGTTATGAAAAAAGGTAATAGATAACTTCCCATTTGTTTTTTCTGGAAAATTACAACAACAAAAAAAAAAGGTAATAGATAACTTCTCATTTGTTTTTTTCCCGCGCAAGTAACAAAAATGTTTCTTTCCCTGTCCCCCTCCAACTACACTTCAACCAGTCGGGGGCGGTGAGTGAAAAATTGTTCACGTCATCAAAAGGCTTGGTTCCCTAATTGAGCCTGGTTTCTAAGCTCCTTCAGAAAGGGAAAGCACTATAGAACATCGTCCTAAACCAGATGAGCCCACGACATATCAGCGGCATCTTGTATGAGTATCCGCAGGTTACAACGTGACTTCCGCTTATTCTTGTTAAAGCGTATTTTACAGTGTACTCATGGAATAGGAAGTGCGTTTGAGCCAGTTTCTGGCAGATTTGAACAGAAAAGCGGGTCTTTTGTTCGAGTGTAATGACATTTTGATCGATGGCGCTATTAACGAAATGTTTGGCTGGTTCGTAAGTTGTCGACCTGGTTTCGGTCGATCTGATTAATTGACAACACCCCTAAGGCAATACATATCATCGTCCCAAACCAGATGAGTCCATGACACGTCAGCGGAATCGTAGCGAGAGTCTTCTACTTTTCTGCTCGTTTCCGGCGAATCAAGAGACCGTGACCTGTGTGACTGACGATAAAGCGTCGTATTCTTCAATATTTTATTGCGAAAGTATTCTTCCCATAACTTGTACAAACTAATTTCTGTCTAGATCACATATTTAAGAAAAAATCTAGCCTGTTATAAAGGCGTTAAAAGGAGGATCGACACTTAAATATGACCGGCCCAATAGTTTCGGTCGATGTTATCCTCTGACCTCGCTATCATCGACCAAAAGCAGATTCAGGTCAAAGATCATTTGCATAACTTTGCACTGTAAAATCTTTCGATTGGAACAAACAACAGTTCTTTTCTTTTGTAATAAATTATCTTTATGTTTTATTTGACCATGATCTCTTGGTTTTTGTTCAACATCTTATTTGCTACTAATAAATATATTTGCCAAGGGGTGGTCCAGTTAATATTTAACACTCATGCATTTATGTTTTGCGGCTCGCGGGTAAATATTGGCGGGAAATCTAAATGTTTGGTAGAAGAACAAACATGGCTGATAACAGTACACCTTGGGCTTCAAGATGGACCGTACAGTTTGACCCTTATTCTGGGTATGTTAACGATGAAAGCAGCGCTGACGAACTCATAAAACAGTACGAGATAGCTACGACGACACGCTTCACTGTATTTAAACAAACAGGAGGGTTTTCAAATTGCAGTAGGCTGGGTAATTAAGCTCACATGTAAAGATTTACAAAATAAACCATACTGACAGTAAAGTAAAGTGAAGTATATCTTTATTTAGACACTATAGGTATTTAAAGCCAGGGACGAGTGAGATCGTGTTATTAACATGAAATATAGATAAATCAAAATAAAAAAAGGGATTTAACTTTTTTCCAATAATTATTGATATCTTAAGAATACATGTACACATCATTATTCTTCGGTTTATACTGGTCAGTTAGACTTTCAAAATTAACATGTAATTAAAATTAAACTTAGCTTCAAGTGTCAATTTACTGTGAGCCTGCAGCAAGAGTTGGCAAGAAATGCTTAATTAATTAAGATCAAGCTTAAAGTGTAAAACCCTACTCAGTGCTATTGACACACAGCTGCCAGCATCCCCATCCATTACACCAGTCCTTGGGCTACATCTGGGTGGGGCAGGCTTGATTTTGAGGCCCTCCATTTTAAGCACCCATGTGTACATATGTACGTATGTGTTTGTGTACATGTATTGTATTGCTAACTTAGCTTGGTTCCTCTTCTCACATAAAAGAAAAATGCAGATAAAAATGCTAAGAACCACCGTATACAATGGGCTGACTCACAGGAGATGACAGGATGCAGACTAAGTTTTGATGGCATCCCATTCCAAATTGTGGGGGTCAAAGTTTTAGAATGCCAAAATGGGCCAGACAGATATAAGGCACTCAAAAGGAAGGAGGCTCAAAAGAGACTACAAAAAAAGATGTAAGCATGCATAATAATTAACTAAATAAGAATGTAAACAAGATGATATTATTACTTAAGGACTCCCAAAGAGGATATCATATATAGGGCATTACATAGTTATTGATTTACCTTCAACTATTTGCTCTTAAGCTAACAAGGTGGTAAGTCCCAACTGATTTTTCTAAGCAAGTTGGTGAGCACTCACCTCTCCCCTCAGGGCTAATAGCAGGCAATAATGTTTTCTTTTTACCACTTGCAAGTAAAAGGACATATCACATTTTATTTGTTAAAATAAGCAAAGTCGCAAAAAAGGACCACTGTGACTGCGGTTTATAAGGTAGGAATCAAGTACTATTTTAAAGGATACTTTTCATTACTTCTAAGTTTATTGATAACTTGACTATTCCCATATGACTGCTCTATCTAACAATCCAATAAATCTATTTGGTTTCAGAAGGAGAATGCTGATCACTGCTATAACAACACCAAACAGCGCTTTATAGTACAGGATACGAAGAAATGTGACTGTCCAGCAAAGATCCACCTAAGGAAAATAATCAAGTATCCTGAAAATAAGGTCAGTTTATTTTAATTATTGAATAAGGGTTCAGGGGACACTACCATTAACATGAATGATCACTAGCCTAATAAAGGGCGCTTAATCCTAATGGGCCTTGTGTTACATGTAGGTGAAGTGGACATATGATAAGACAACCTGGACATTTCGTTGTGCAGAATTGAAACAAATTTACCTGAAATGGAAACAGAGTGAATATTTTAGAAACCAATTTTTCAAATATTATTTTAATTAAAACATTGTATCATTAGATTTCAGAGAACACAAAGAGTAGAAGGGAGACAATGTCAAAATTTCTGAGAACATCCCTAGAGTCAGAAAAGAAGCAAACAATATCTACAGAGGAGCGTATTTACATATTACTTCCTAAACCTACGGATCACTTATTTCACCCCATGGGGAGGGTAAGTACTTGGCCATCAATTAAATTTTTTTGGGAATCAGGAAACTGAAGTTTGGTGGGGAATTTAAGGTGACTTAACTTAACACAGATCATCAGTCTACTGTAGACTGTGCTGCTTCCACTGTCATGTCGAATATATATAAAGAATGAATAAAGATTATACATCACAACAAAAGACCACTAAAATGTACTACATGTAGAGCTTCTTTAAGCTACACTGGCACTCATTCCTCAAACTCAATGTCAAGACTAATATCACAATTTTATCAGAGAGGGATTTGCACTGGCACTGTTTTAATGGAATGCTGTCATGGACTTTTTAAATGGATTTTCTTAAAAAATACAGTGTTCAGTACTCTGTAATTATAACATTCTGTAACTATTACTGATGTCGATAGTAATGTTGGTATAATTTGCATTATTATTCATTCAAAATATTCCCTGTTTCTGAAAGGTTAAAACCACTCACATATTTCATCATAACCAGCTGCTGTTGACCAAATTTGGAAAAAATTTTCTCATATTGAACCAATTATTTTTCCTTGTTCTTGAGTTTGTGGTGCTTTAATATCATGATGAAAATTTCTTGTGCCTTAAAGGAAGAGGAAGAGCCTGCTAAGCGTTTGACCGATATGTTCATGTCGGTCATGTACGGTTAGTATCATTTGGTTACTTTTAAAACATGTACATGTATCATTTGTTCACCTCTGGCCACTGAACATGACAGTTCCATGAAAAGCCCAAGGAATTTAAGCATTAGGCCTCTCTTCCTATCAGTTTACCGGCAGAAAATAACCCACGCGAAATATTGGAAGAACAAGGCCATTACGCTAGTAATCCAATGGAAAGTGTAATGTTATGCATTTATAAAATAAACATAATATGTTTCAACTTTCCTTAGGTTTACCGGTGCAGTAAACGATAGGTCTTTTGACCAGTCAGGGAGCGCCTAGTATCTAAAGCTCAGTTTTATTGTAAAATAACGATAAGTGTTGTCGCGATCGAGATAATTGACATGTTTTTAACAACCTTCTCAGTAAAAACAGGAGAATAACATTCGATCGAACAACAGTTACAAGCCGGCGTAAGGATTTTAATGAAGTACCCACTAGGTTTAAGCAAAACCCTTGAGAAAAGGTGATGCTTTAATTTGAGTTCCTGCAAAGTTATGAAGTTTATCGACAAACTCAGTTTAATTAAGGCCTGGGTCACCCTACTTTTAACCCATATTTTTCACAAAATTGAGAATAACTTAGCTATTTGCGAGGGATTTTTCTCATACTTGGCAGAAATGTGTATCACTACCATCTCTCTCGGACTGAATTGTGGCAGCGTAATATGATACTCTCAACAGCCAAAAACAGCTAATTTAAGCGCCAAATTCGTCGGTTGCTTTCTTGAGCAAAAAAAATTCCCACCACTAAACACAAGGCAAATCAAAATGCAGTTATCGCTATGAATATTTGAAACGTTTTTCATTGTTTTCCCACTTGGAGTGGCTACCAAAAAAAAGAGAGATGTGCTAGGCAGATTAGATCAAGTTTTGTCTCTGCGAAGCTGCTTCCTCTATCATGGTTTACGCCCAAAAACATCTTAGCCTTTACCTGGTTCCAACCGCTATCAACAACACAAAGTAAAGTGAAACCAACGCAAAAAGCCATTAAAACTGCTGTAAAACACATTCATTCAAAAGTGAACGGCCACTTTGAGAAAATATTTAAAGTAAGCTTTGCTGAAGCACAACAAAAGTGAAGGAACTTCAGCTTCAAAAAAAAGAAAGACGCAATTGAGAAAAAGCGGCAGCGTTGAGAGAGAGCACGCCAAGAAAAAACAAAATCCAATGCTAATGTCTAATCCATCTGGAGGAGGAGTAATGTTTCTAGTTACTTTGCAGTAATTTGCATGCCAGACAATGAGATCAACAATCTTCACCTTTACTTGTGTTGCAATCTAGCATTAATTTAAGCACACTCTCTATAATATATTTGCCTTCATTTTCCAGTTTTTTAAAAGGAATGCAAGTACCAAATTTTCTACTGTAAACTTAATCAATCATACTGAACTTCTTCCAACCAATGGAGAGAATATAATACTGGGAGAAGGATCCTATGGTCGATGCCTTCTGAGACAGTACACACGATTTGATATAAAGGTTGTGGAAAAACAGTCTCTGATGCAGGACACCACAGAGATAATGAAGGAGGCTCACATTATGCAGGCACTCGCACATAAAAATATCCCAACCATAATAGGTGTGCAGCTTCAAAAGCAGCCCATTTCCTTAATAATGGAGTTTAAAGGGGAAGACAATACATCTGTAACAATAAGCAAACAATTGTCTTGTCAGAAAAACAGTGCAACAATACAGAATGTGCAAAGCTCACTCATAACAAATGACTGGTTAATTATTTCACATGATTTGACAGAAGCCCTTTTGCATATTCACACAAAAGGCTTTCTTCACTGTGATTTGAAGGCTAATAATGTTCTTGTGAGTAACAAACATGGCTACATCATCAATTTTGGAAAAGCATGTGACAGCTCCTTTCCTCCTGCAAAGAAGTACAGCATCTGTTATCTTCATATTGCTCCTGAGGTTCTTAATGGTTCTCCCTGTAGCAAAGCCAGTGATATTTTCCCTTGGTAAAATTCTGTTCAAAGTAGGTGTTAAGCAAAACATTCCACTTTTGGTTTCCATGGCTCAAGAATTTTTGAATGCCAGCCCTGTAAGAAGACCAACAACAACAGGCATTATGGCAACACTGGCTTCCATAATATCTCACTGAATACTATAAGCTTAAGCAGGGGTTTCACGGGCCTGACACTGGGCAAATTGACTGGCTGGGAACATAATTTTTCCTGCATGTTGTGACTGATAAATCAGAATCAAAACATATTTTGCCTGCTTCCTTGTACATTTCCCATCACCTCAAAATCTTAATGAAACCTCTGCTTAAGAAAGTAATAATTAACACTCTAATCAGGTAAAGTGACCCTTGCCATGTCACAGCAGGAGTCTTTTTCTTGGGCTTTGCAAGGTTAAAATTACAATGTATGTGCATGTCTTTAGCAAGTTTATGTGTGCCCTTGGTCTAAACTAATTTTGTACTTCTGCTTTACGAATTGTGAATGAATGTTAGAGGGACATTTTTAATAATGCACTGATAAGGTGCTCTAGGTGTCGGAAACGTATTGTTATCAAGTCGCGTGACTATAGGGCGTGGCGAACTTGACACCATTGTATTGTACATGTGATTGAACCAGTAAGAGTCAACAATGACCGGAAATTCTTGTGTAACCAAAAAACTAAGACTAGAGCTGATATAAGAATGTACAATTGCGTAAATTGACGAGTTAGAGAGTTGTACTCAATGTGATCGGGTAGTGAGAAAATAAATAACTTTAAAACATATTGTGACTTTTGGAGAGAACTGGAGGAAAGGGGGACATTCTCCAAATAGGGTCCATCAGGTACAAAATTACTTCATAGGTCATACTCTATGTCTATAATTTTACATTGCTGCTAGATAACATACATGTACCAATTTATTTCCCAATTCCTGCCAATTATTGATCTATGAAATTGAATTTAGATAAGCAACTGGCAGATCAAACTTGAAATTATAAATCAGAGTTTTAACTAGTTAGGCCACCATAGCCTTCTAACAGGAATATTGACTTGGAAGAGCAACAAAAAAAGCAAGAAATACAATTTTAAAATTTTCCATTCTGACTTTGAAACAAGGGCAACCTATCCTGCTCCTAAGATGGCACATCTTTTATGAGTAGGGCTGAGAAGATGACACATCTTATACCAGTTTGTGTTTGCTCTTGTCACAAAAAAAAAAACAGTGCCCCACTTGGGGCAACAGTAAGCACTGGTAATTAATCATGTCTTATCAACAAAGAGAGAAGGCTATGGTCAGAATCATATGCATGTATCAGAACTTTTGTGATGCATTTGAATTAAAAGATATTCCACTGGTGTAGTTGGTAGAATATTTACATTCAAACAGACACATATATCAATTACATGTCCATCATTGACAGTGATTGTTGCAATTATTACTGGTCAAAACTTAAAAACCAAACTGTCGACTATAATTAAAACTGATATAATATGATTTAAAAACCAAAAAAATGCCTCATAAATAACACCATTAACATTCTTGTAATAAATTAGTTGTGTGGAATAACTGGAAGGACCTTTCCAAGAAAACAAATAGGGATAACAGTAAATAAAACTGGTTTTAATCAAGTAGATTCCCTTTGGAATCTGCAAGGGCTGGCTGGTTTTCTGTGTGAGTAATTAAAATTATTTTAATTATATATTTAAAGCAATTCAGTGAGTGACCTCGGAATAAACTAACACACATTAGTACAGCTTTTTTCTCTTAGTTTTCAAGGGAAAATTTATGACAAGACAATCTGCATCTTACATGTCAGCAATTAAACTTACCTAACAACTGCTTTGGGGGATTACTTTTGTAAGTAAATTCATCTGCTTCTTAGAGGAATTGTTTCCAAAGCATTCAAAAGCCTAAATTTTGATAAACACCATAAGTTTACACATCATGATACGATAGAGGATTTATCGAGCTAAATTTAATTTCGAAATTGAATGGTATATCCACAATGAAACTTTTTTCTATGCATTTGTTACAAAACATAGTACTTTTTCTATGCATAAGTTACAAACATTGTAAAACGCTATTGAGCTCTAGAAATGAGCGCTATATTATAAATTCATGTTGCATTGTATTTGCAGTGAAGTCAATGAACATGTTGAGAGCGGTGTTTAGAAGTCTTCGTAGGTTCAAAAGGGTTCTCTTTGGCTTTAAGATAGCGATATCATGCCATTTTTTGAGGAAATGAAGATAGCAAAGAAAATTTAATTACCTTCTTTTGATGCCTTCCTCTAGATTGTCGGATTCACCAGCGAAGATGGGAAAAACCAATGCAAAGCCGACACTTCAAAATGGCGGATGCCGTTCACGAACTACGCGATCTTGATTCCAAGTAACTATGGTTACTCGCGCAGTCCACGCGAATTCCGCGAACCTTGCTAGGGGGCACTGGAGGCGAAAAGCATTTTTGACCCAGGCCTTAATTAACCTGAGAATTAAAAAAGAAAAGATGCCACATCGATGCATCTAACTTACCATTAAGCATTAGGCATCTCTCTCTTTTTATAATAAAATAATGATAAGGAATGTCGGGAACAACATTTTACCGATTACTGTGAAAACAGTGTATGTTGTATGATAATATAGAAAAGACCCCTATGACCTAATAACTCTGTAGTTATCGACCAAGCATGAACAGCCTTGTCGCTGCTAATAATCTCATTTACAAAGATACCATCATGTCATAGTTCAACGCTGATTTACATAGTAAATTTTAGAGACCAGCGCAGGGTGAAGAAATCATAGATGCTGTAGTATTATGATTAATATACTTATTATACATTTAACTCACTTTCTCTTTTCTGATTGGCCGAAAGCGTACAGTGAATTTTCAAAATCAGCGCTTAGGACGTCAACTAGCTGCAGATCATGCAATAATCATGTTACGGACCCTCCGAGGTCACGGGTAATCGTGTCATGTATGACCGCGGTGCATGATTTCTAAGGGTAATCATGTCAAGTTCGCGCGCTTTGTGTTGCATGCTGATTAGTATATTCTTACACGTTCAGAAATAAATTATCAGTTCCACTTACAGTCGTGACCATTTTTTTTTAGTTGAGGGTTATTATTTTTTCTCGGTAAGGGTTATCAGCCTCACCCTTCGGCTTCGGCTAATAACCCCTGCCTCGACCTTGGTTATTCTGAATATCACAAAATCCTCATCCAACAATTGTTTATAACAATGGTGACGACGATGACGATGATGACATTGACCATGACAACGGTATGACGAAATGATGATGACGATATGATGATGGTAATGATTGTTTCGTTTATCAAATAGGCGTTGCCCCTTGTTGACAGATTTACTTAATGACAAGAATCGTGATTGACATTAATTCCATAGACTGATTTAAAAGCGTCGACAGATTATTATGTTTCAAGTCAGTTTTTCACCGGAATCGAAGTGAGAAAGAAGTTATTTTGTTATCATTTTTTCTGTCTCTAATTCCCCTTACCTGGAGAATCTCCTAACCTGTAAAGGGAGACTGTTGTAACGACCCGCCACAGAAGTAATTATAAGTTTACATTGAAGTATTTGAATTTAGCTACGAGATCAAGATTTGATTTGCGTTTGTTCTGATTGCGAATTTTAAATGTATTTCTTTTAGATCGAATAATTATTAAAGCTTGATTCATTTGATCTAACCAGTTCCGAGTAAGGAAACAATAATGATGACGTCAGCTAGTTATTTCTAATGAGCAGAAAGAAATATATTCTCCTTTCCTGTGGGAGAGGTCTACCTAAAGGTGTTTAGTATATCACCCAGATAGTACGCGCACTTTGGTTGATTATTTGTGTGTTCTGTGACCTCCAGTGCGGCATTCTAGAATTTAAAAAGACGGAGTGGCGTTTGCGCGGTCAAATCTAAAGCATTAGTGAAGGTGTTTTCCTTTCGTTCTCTATTAAGCTTCACCTTTGTGGTGCTCAGAAGAACAATTACTTAAAGTTTATAAACTTCAAATTTAAATCAACAACATCCTCGCAAAACACACTGCTAAAGAAAACTTTCCCTCGACCACCCACCCTCCTCAAGGGGAAGAAGGGAAAAAAGAGAGAGCCTGGAGACAAGAATGCTTGCGCTCATGGTCTTTTCTTCAGGTGCAATATCGAGTTCAGGCACTGTGGGCTTAATCCTTTAACCCCTGGGGGTGAATGGCATCTAATTTCTCCTTACAAGATCACCCTTGAATAAAACATTAAGGTCATGAGAATAAGAGAAATGATCAACAACAAAAGCTCTTGATTGTTAAACAAATTCTCCTTTTCAGAACCTTAAGAAATGTATAGAGAAAGTATAGAGAATATGCATACTGATATTAGGGTATAAAGGGTTGAGGTAAGATTTTGATCGCTCAGTGGACCACAAAATTATTAAATAAACTCCTCAGTTTAACGTCAATTGCTTGAAACATCAATTGGACGAAAGTGCTTTGTTCACTTCTTCCAGAGCTTAGAGGCAGGTGCCTTTCGCTGACCAAGAAATCCGTCAACTCAGGGTATCAAATGAGCTTTTCAACTGTGATCTTAAGAGAAGATTGCGTTCAATTTATTCGGCTATATGATAAAAAGGCGAGGACCTTGATGTATTTCAATATTTTAATTACATTTACTGTTCCTACTGCACAATAACTTCAAAGATATAATTGAGCTATATACTGAATTACTTGAAAAAAAGAAGAAGCAACAACTACCAAAGAAATGCGTATATTCAAAGTCTTCTATGGCGTTGCTCGATATAAAAAATTCTTTTTTCCTCAATCGTTAAGTACACTTTCTAGGTATCGTTTGTGTTATAGCAACATGCAAACTAATTCTACCTCTCACATAGAAACATCTCACTGGCGACCTAAAATTCTACCGTCAAAATTGTTCATATGTCATTCCAACTACCTCGACTAGAAAGCCACACCATCAAATGAAAAAGGGTCTGTGAGGGCGTTTACATTTAATGAGCA